AAGGAAAAGCATCCTCCTCCTCCTCCTCCTCCTCCTCTCCTCTCCTTATCTCTTGTTCTCTCACCCCCCCAACCCTGCCTGCTCCTCCACCACCACCACCACCGACCTGAAGGAGAAGTGTACTCCTCCCGGCATCCCTCCGGCTGCTCCGGCCGCCTCCGCCCCTTCTCCATTCATCTGCTGCTTCAGCACCTGCTCCCCATACTTGTCGTAGATTTCCTGTGGGTATGACAGGTGCGGGAGGTGGCAGGTGAGTTGAGAAACAGAAACAGGAGAAGAGAAGGCAGGGAAGTGGAAGTGAAGAGAGAAGGATCAAGGCGAGGAGTTGAGCGAGCAGTAGGAGAATCATGAGACCAAGGAAGAGGCTGAGGAGAGGTGGAGGAGGCAGAGAAGGAGAAGCTGAGGAGGAGAAGCTGAGGAGGAGAACGCTGAGGAGGAGGAGGAGGAGGAGGAGGGGTCGGAAAAACGAGGTAGGAGGGCCCTACCTTGCTCTGCTTGTTGGACAAGACTTCATAAGCTTCGGACACCTGAGGACGAAAATGAGACTTGAGGCAGTGACATGGACAGAAAAGATGAGAAAAGGAATGTGAAGCAGAAAAGCTCGACATGAAGAGAAAGAAAAGCGGAGTTACACGATGAGAAGATATAGAAAATTGTGAAGGACAAAACAGAAGAGAGGTTGGGAGGGAGCGAGGAAGCGAGGGAGCGAAGGAAAGAGAGAGTGAGAGCTTCTCTATAAAACTCGACCTCTTTGAACTTCTTGTCTGCCATGGCCTTGTTGTTTGGGTTTCGGTCCGGATGCCATTTCAGCGCCATCTTCTTGTACGCCTTCTTGATCGTCTTCGTGCACAAGTCAGAAAAGGGTGAGGACAGCCAGGGAGGGAGGAGAGAGAAGGAAAAAGTCAAGAGGAGGGAAACAAGCGCGGTACGTTTTCATCATCTTCTCCCTGCTCCAGCCCAAGAATGTCGTAGTATCGCCTGTTGTCCACCCCTCCTCCCCGCAACCTGAGCACGACCTCCCTGACGCCTCCTCCTCCACGCATGCTCGCAGCTGGTTGCTGCCAGGGCCTCGAAGAGGTCTGCGATCGATGCCGATAGTCCATCACGGCAACTTCGAACGATTCTTCCATGCACATGAGGGAGAAGCAGAGAGCCAGTAAGGTCAGCCTGACGCTAGGCTGCAACGACACCGTCCAACTCTGCTCCTTCACTGTATGCTTGCTCGCTATCATGGCTGTCTCCCCCACCCCCCGCCACCTCCTCTTCCCTCACACCCTTGCAAGTCAGTACAATCTCTGTCCCAACGGCGAACTCGTCAAGCTCACTGAGAAACCTTTCCGAGCTTCACGGGATAGTCTGTATTCCAACTCTCACTCCAGTGCTGCTGCATGAAGAAAGGAAGCACGCGAAATCTGCTAAGAAGTGAAGAATAATCAGACGCCGGAGATAATCATCGTTCAAGTAGATTTCTCCTCCTGCTCCTGCTCCTGCTCCTGCTCCTGCTCCTGCTCCTGCTCCTGCTCCTGCTCTTGCTCCTGCTCCTTGCATCAGGAGTGCCATTTGATTAACTTTCACATGGAGCTAATCTAATATAAATGCTGACTTCAGGGGAACAAGAAGCAGGAGCGCATCAGGTTGTGCCCAGGGGCCTAGGAGACTCAGAAAACTCTCACAGACAGAGGGAGGAGGAGGAGCTACGGCACCGGAAGAGTGCAAGAGAGTATCAGTAAACTACGATCATGGCAGAAACAAACGGTCGCAATGGCGAGGAAGTTCGTAGTGGACAGAAACTACGATGGGGGTAGAGCAAGGAGGAGGGGGGTATAGCTCCGAGACATGCAAGACAGGAGAAGAGGACGTCCTGTCAAGTATGTGTTCTGCTGGAAGGAAGATCGGCAAATGCAGGAGATGGGGCGAAGTTTGGAGGATTTTGGTCCATCTTGGAAGGGAAAGGAGGGCAAGGAGGGGGGAGAGAGTCCTGGCTCACGATGGAGACTGGAAGGAGGAGGAACTAGTGGTGGACATGGGGAAGGAGGAGGAGGAGAGGGCGAGGAGGAGGAGGAGGAGGAGGAGGGGCAGGGGAGGATACGCAAGAAACTGAGCGTGGCCATGAGGATCTGGAAAATCCATGAGGTGGGTAGGGAACAATTTCAGGGGGTAGGGGTTATCAAAAAGGGGGGTAGAGATATGGAAGGTCTCTTGGGTAGGGGATGAATTAAGACGAAGATCCAGGGAGTAAGAAATTACAATATGGCAATACATATAAAATTCGAATACATACGGGTATGAAATTGATTATTGAAATCGATCACAGTTCTATTTGCTCCTGTGGTTTGCGGAGGGGTGGTATGTACATGTTTGGGGTCCGGTGTGTGCCGTCCGTACCCAACCAGTTTCCGGGTGACTGAGCCTGCCCCGGAAACTCAGTGACTCGGCGCCCGGGCCGGCCGGGATCCCCGGGGCCGGGCCCGGCCAGATCTCCGGGAGTCATCATCGGGGCCGGCGGGGCGGCGTTGCGCCGGGCGCGCGCCGGTTGACAGTGATCTTTGAGTGAACTTCAATCTACTATGACTCGGTTTGGGCCGGCTACCCCCCCGGGACGGCGCCCCCCCGGCCCCGGCGCCGGACAGCCTGAGCCGGGCAGGCCTCAGTACTGGCACTGAGCTGAGAGGGGCCGCCCCGCCGGAGCGCGGGCCGGCTGGGGTACGGTGGCGGGGTCCGAGGTCGGGCCGGCAGGCCTCACTGAGTCACAGTGAGCGGGCAGCCTTGGCAAGTTGATAGCTTTTGACATTGTTTTTCACTGAATTTCCACTCCGCCAGAAATAGAGCGCTTCGACTCCCCTGAGTCCCCGCGATGGCGGCGAAGTAAGAGACTGACTGGCACGAGCAACTCTCAAAACATGTTGAAACGGTCTGAAGCCAAAACCAACGCCTCCTCCTCCTCCTCCTCTTCCTCCTCCTCCTTCTCTTTCTCCTCGCTACTCCCCTCTTCTTCTGTCTCTTTCGTTTCGTTCTGCCTAGTCTCGGGTGCTGCCGTCCTGCTTGTCATTGCGAGCTGCTGGAGCGGACATGAGGGTCTGCTGGGACGGCGCGAACTGGCAGCGAACGACCATCGCTTTCCTACTCACACGACCTCTAGCGCGTACGTCTTCTCCTATCCTTTCGTCAGGAAGCATACCCCATCCAGCGCGCAAGTCGTCAATGTCTACACCACTTTTGAGGCCCCGGCAAGCGTTCCAGCAGACGAGACGTCGACACCGGAGGGCGAGGAGCCGACAGCGACTGAGGTCACGCCCAGCTCCACCTCTAGCTCTCCCCCAGCTGTAGCCACGGAGCAGGTGAGCGAGACAGCACTGATTATCATTCTTGGTGAGAATGCGATACAGGACGGGGTGTATCAAGTGCCTTGGACTGCGATTCGTGCGTACCGGACCGTTCCGCTCGCCCAAGAAGCTGCTCATCAGGCTGTAAAGTTTCTGTCCCATAGCCCCAGGTGGGTCGACGCTCAATGTTATTGTTCTGAATATTGTTGTGGTTCTGCATTTGTTGCTCAGTGAACACATGTCGGCAGTGCGGTTGTGCAGAGTGAAGGGCCGAAGAAAAGCTGGTGGCAGCGATGGCAGGACACGACGCCACGGCCATTGCAGAACCCGAAATGGGCGGCAAACATGGCGTTGCGAGTCGCGCATCGTGCCAAGTCCTCGGTATGTCATGCTGCTTGTGATCGAAACAGTAATGCTCGCTTCTCCCTCGCAGTACTTGTCGCCGCCTGTCACAAACTCAACTGCATCTGTGGCAAAGAAGATCCCAGAGAATTCGAAGCCTCAGTCAGAGATCGTCATCAACATTCGGCCTTCAACTCCTGCCCAGCACAAGGTCCAAGTGTTCAAGCCACTTGCCCCTCCCGATCGCGTCCAGCCCCCCCCTGCGGTTCCAGACTTCGTTGCTGTCCCGTCGGCTGCTCCGTTCAGGAGCCCTTGGGATGCCAGGGCTTTCCAGAAGCAGGAAAGTTTGATGAGGCTGATGAAGAAGAAGTATGTGATGGAAGCTGTACCCCCTGGCTACAGGCTTGTGATGCCGAAGGAAGCTGGAGAGAGTTACCTTCAGGTTCCTCAACAAGGAGCAGTCGTTGCGATGCCTCAAGAGGGAAGGGAGAGCTTCATCGAGATCCCTCAGGGGAGCCCAGGAATCATCGAGGAAGCCCCTGCACAAGGAGCAACTTTCATGCAGAGCCCTCGAAACACTTTCGCAAATTTTCAGCCCTTCCCTCAACAAGGGACCTTCCTACAGATCCCAGCAGATCGACTGGTGCAAGAAAGGTCCTGGGAAGCTCTACAGGACCAGGATGCTTCTAGGCGTGCTGGGTTCTACGGGGAGCGACGAGGCGTGTGGAAGAGTATCGTGCCAGGGGTCAGGCCCATTTGGAGCACAGAGAGGAGGATGGAAGGAGCGGGAGGTTTTGTACGTGGTGCATCACAGGCGGCGGTGCTGGCCGACCTTCTGAATCGAGCAGTAGGTAGATGATGATGTTATTGTTTTGTTGGAAAGTTCAAACGACAGGGTGATCCGACTGTTGGCTGCGTCGCCGCCATCATAGTACATTCTCATCATTCAGCAGCCTCAACGGGTCTCTCCTCCGGTGCCCGCCTGTCTTCGACTCCACGGTCGCGATCATCCCGTGGCCTGTCGCGATCTCTGCGCAGCTCCTCTTCGCGTCCTCTTCCTCGACGATCACGGTCTCGCTCTCTCGATCTCTCCTTCTCGAGCGTCCGACGGTCCAGGCGCTCTCTATCTCGCTCTCTGTCTCTGTCTCGAATCCTGCACACTCATCAGTTCAATCCTCACATACATGTCAACACACCTGTCGCGATCGCGCTCCCTCTCTCGGTCCCTCTCTCTCTCCCTCTCCCTGTCTCGTTCACGGTCCCTCTCCCGCTCTCGATCCCGATCCCTATCGCGGTCACGAAAGCGATCATCCTCCTTCCTCCTCTTGAGCTCCTCCTCTCTTCCACGTGCATCATCATCTCTTCCCCGCTTGCGGTCACGATCTCCTCTGTCTCGGTCTCTCCCTCCATCTCCTGGCCCTCCCCAAGGCCCGGGCCCTCTACCTCCTCCCGGGGGCATCATGCTGGGCGGGCCGGGGAAACCTGGCGGCCTCATCCCCCCTCCTGCCATCATCTGCATCATCATCTCAGGAGGCATGGCTCCACCCGGCATGCCCCCGGCCATCACCATCCGCTGAAACACTTCGGGAGGAGGCATCTGACCCCGGGCCATCATCTCCTTGATTACCTCGGGAGGAGGCATTCCAAGCTGAGGCATGTCCGGCCCTCGGCTCTGCTGCGCTTGCCCTCCTTCCTTGCTTCCTCCGTCCTTCCCTTCGCCATCCTTTCCTGCCGCACTCTCTTGCACCGAGCCGCCTCCCTCGCCGCGACCTCCTTGCATTGCATCTGCGGGGCCGCGCATACCGGGCGGGGACATGAACGGGGGAGCCATTCCTCCCATCCAAGGAGGGTTCGGCATCTGACCGGGCATGGCGCCAGGGCTGTTGAAGGGTTGGCTCGGCTTGTTCTGGTTGCTGCTGGCGCTGCGGTCGGACTCAACGACTTGGATGCTCGCCTGCATGGCGTTCATCCTCCGCAGCTGGACCTGCTTCTGGCCGTAGGCCTGCCAGGTCTCCTCGTTGAAGCCGTAGTTGAACCAGTCGCTGAGATCAGCTCCTGGCTTCCTCCATGGCTTGTCCTCCATCGACGAGATATCGAACTCATACGGGTTGACGAGGGGCCCTCCGAGCTTGGGGTCCACTGCAGCTTCCTCTCCCTCCTTAGGGGCTGTCTGCTCTCCGATCTTGACTTCAACGCCCTTCCTGACATACTTGCGATTCGGCTGCAGCAAGCAAATCAGCAAGTCGACAAGATTTGACACATGAACGAGCGACGTTCGAGTATATGACATATCCACTACCATCTTGTCAACAAAACTCATGTGGGCCAATACACTCTGCCCTCAGATAAAAGGATAATCATCTTCTCTCATAATCCCACCCATCTCTCTTCATTTGTTTTCTTCTTCCCTTCAACTCTTCTCTCTTCTCCCCCTCCCCTCTTCGATATCGTCCCCCCCCCCCTCTCCTCCCGCTCCCACCCTCTCCCTCTCCCACCCTCTCTTCCCTCTCTTATCTTGCCCCAGTATCGCATCCAATCCATCAACAACTCACCATCGGCGTCCCTCCCCAGGCACCCTTAGAGGCGGATCCAACATCGTCCTGATCGATGATGACGTCCACGCCATCGTCGTCGTCGTCGTCCTGCCCTTCACCTCTCTCCTCCTCTCCGTCGTACGTCTCCTCGTGGTGAGCCCCTCCGTCTCCCATGCCGAGCGCTTCCTCCTCTCCCATCCCCTCCTCTTCTCCCATCGCCTCGTGCATCGTCGCCGCCGCCGCTGTTCTCTGTTCCTTTGACAGTTACGGGACGTTATGAGACAGGGTATACCTGGCTGTAACGGTCGTGTGTTATATTAGTCCTAACGATTTACGGTTGATTTGTAACGGTTGCTTACGACTAAGCAAGTCAGCTAAGCCATATAAAGGAGGGCAGGAGTGAGAGTGAGAGAAGGAGAGGGGAAGAGCAGGTCGAGAATCCAAGTCAAGTGAAGGCAAGAAACCAGAGGACCAGGACACAGTAAGCGGAAGGAGGAGAGGAAATCAAATCTGAACGAGAAAGAACAAAGAGCAGACTACGACTTTCAAGGACAATGGCTGAAGCAATCCGAACACGCCCTTCAATCGCTCCCTCTGATGGTAGAAGGGCATGCCTGCTCGCCGTCCTCCTACTTGGTCAAGCAGCATCGTCCTGTTGTTGGATGACTCTTCCAGTCCTCCGAGCTCGGGATGAATGTGCGATTCAACTGGGACAGTGGAGCCATGGCGCTCTGGGGGCTCAATGCTTGAAGCCATCGCCATGCTCACATGCTACGAAGGAACGAACGTCGAGCATGCTCGCAGGCACAACCATGGTTGACGGAGCTGTGGGTGCAATGCCGAGGAGGACAATAATTCTTTCAGCAGTGGGACTTTCAGTCCTGCTGGGCTACTCGCCTCCTGCATCTGCCGTATCTTACTCAACCAAGGTACAATGGAGCAAGAGCGGAGCGGAGCAGAGCTCTGATACAGTGTCAGGGCTTGGTGAACACGATCAGGCTGAAGGAGGGAGTACGCTACTTGCTCCTCTACAGCTTGACAGGGAAGGAGGTCGACAGGTGCTCTGTTGCTCCTGTTTTCTCCATCCCCCCCCTGACCCTGCGCACCAACAGCTTTCAGCAGGAAGTCAAGTTTCTGTTCAGAGATACGGTACCCCGCATTTGAGCCTGTGCTGGTCGTTGATTGAGCTGTAGAATCCTTCAAGGAACCTGGAGGCCGCGGTCGCTGCACAGCAGGCTGTGCGCCAAGTTTTGACAAGTGCCATGCAGTGTAGCGCCCTGATCGACGACTCGGAGGAGCCGCCCAGACTCACGCCCAACGCGGTGCAAGCTCAGCTGTCAGCTGGGAAGATCGTGGAGTTCCTGTCCAAGGTGAGTGGAGGCTCCGAGGTCGATGGGGACGTGACTGGAGTTTGACAAGCTGGTTGAGTACGACGGTTGGGACAAACTTGACAAGGAAGACATCAACCCAAAGTTTCAGCGCATGACCGAGCAGGTGTACATCTGTGGCGGAAGGCGGGAGAGAGGGAGCAAGCGGAGAGGAGGAAGCGGAGACAAGGAAGAGGAGAGGAGGAAGAGAGCGAGGGAGAGGAGGGAGAGAAGGAGAACGTGGGGAGAGGAAGAGGCGAGAACAAGGGGACGACATGGTCGAAGACAGTGACTGAACGTTTTCTCCTTGTTCCTTTGTCTCTAGAAAATCAAGTTTGCTACGCGCGGGCTGAACGCCATCATAGAAGAGGTCAAGTTCCTCTACAGCAAGTTCGTTACTGATCCCAGGAATGCTCCAGATTGATCATTTCCTCGCTCTGTTTCCGGCCGATCAAGTCCGGGAGGCGCAGGAGGTCGGAACTCTCCTGGGTCGTCAGCTGGGGTCCTTGACAAGTTTCTGGCCAGGTGTACAACGAGGTGTTCGCTCCCAAGTACGAGAGCTGAGAACTCGAGGCAGACGGAGGCGATCTTTCAGACCTCTCACGCCGTTAGCTGGGGATGAGTTGGGACTTCGAGCTACGAAGTGCGATGGATTCATGTCATCATTCCGTCGCATCCCATGCTTTTCCAGACCTGTTGCGCTAGTCAACAACAAGTGAAGGGGAGAAAGGAAAACGTCAACGTCGAGAGTCCGATTGCTGGCCTGTTCAGAGATCCTCCCTGACACCTGCAGGCAGTCGCATCAGCTGGGAAATAGCTGGGGGGCTGCCTTACGATTCCTCTCTTGACTTTAATGGAAGGCATTCCGTGATGAGTCGTCTTGGGCCAGCAGCTCCCGCTCTGAGATGTTACAGTAAAGATACGAAGCCCTGGAGAGGAGAGGAGAGGAGGAGGAGGAGGAGGAGGAGGAGGAGGAGGA